GGCTTGCATAATCTCAGTAACGATATTATATCTGATATGTTTGAGCACTTCTAGATCCCTGGTGCTTTTAACCATCCGAATAAAGTCCTCGAAGGATTCCGCGTATTCGTACGTTTTCCTGTGCATCGCTTCAGCGAGCTGCTGCTGATCAATGTATGTCAGAATCTTCTGATTGATATAATCGGGATCCGTGATTAAATCTATCGCCGGTTTTAGGACTGAAAAAACATAGAAAAGTAAGTGAGAAATAAGTATAAGTCATATATAAAAAAAACTAATATTAAAAATACTAATATTAAAAATTAAGCTTACTTTTGCATGTAAGAATTTCTCTTAAAAGAAACTTTACTGGAGAAAGGGAGTAACAGCGTGGTAACAAAAACAGGATATAAAGTTCGCTGATCTTCCTTAAGTATTCTAGCTCAGCGACAGGCGACATCAAATGCGCTGACAAAATAAACACGGGGTCCTCTCCTTCTGACCTAAATGCGATAAATAAATCAATTGCTTCTCGTCTTGAACACGTCAATGAAAAAAGACGCTTACGAAGCCGCTTGAGCTATCCTGATCTTCTCAAAGTGAAAAGTGAGCTTATTCACTATATTGCAAACCACTAGTTTGGTGTGATCAACATGTGACAAGCGATCGTGTAAGCTCTGTATCGCGCCCCACACATCCTGCTTCATGTTATCTATCAGCTGTTCAGAGCCAAAAACAAGATCGTTCAGCCAGAAGCCGACAAAGTCCTGAAAGATCAAATCTAGAAGATTCTGCAGGGCATTATCCACCAGGCGTGTGAAGATAACAGGATAACGCATGTGCTTCCTAGTGCTGGCTGATTTGGGCTCATATCCTTTCTAAAAAATCGATAATCAGGAGTAAACAATGATAACAATTAGTCCTCTGCCCTTTTCAAGTGAACTTTTTACACTGTGTTCATCTTTTCTTTTTTTCTTGAACCGAAAGAAGAGAAAAAAAATTGACAGTGTAAAAATTCAACTAAAAAGAATTATAAATTTATTTGTCTTTTCTTTTCTTTTGTTTTGTTAAAACAAGTTAATAAGTATCGTTCTGTCTTCGTTATTCTTAGAAGAAAAAAGATATTGTGCCTACTTGTAATTAAGGCTCAGTTCTACAAATGTAAGATTAACTTTAATCTCAATTTAATTTACTACTTCCTTTTCTAATTTCTTTTTAAACTCTTTGTTAAAATTAGAAAAAGATAAATAGTAAATTGAATTAAATAAACCATTCTATTCCATCTAGATTCAGTTTCACCAATGTAAAATCAATTCAATCTCGGTTCAGTTTACGCTTTACATATATTTTCCTAATTCTAAGAATTAGGAAAAGATAGTTAGTACATTAAACAGAGATTCAGAAAAAATAAAGAATAAATTCAACCGAGATTAAAGTTAATTTTACATCAATGGAATCTTACATCACTGGACCTAATTAAATGCATTGTTTTGATCGTGTACCATCAGTATGTTGCGGAAGGCGTCCACTTCTGCAATGGTTCTAACAGTTCCAGAGCCAGTCTGGTGTTTGGGTGACAGAGCTATGTTAATCAGTATCATGATTAACGGGCCGATAAGCAGGCAGGAACAAGTTAATACAATGTAGAGACAACAACACTGGACGCAGGTCCAGTTCATAACAGTTCCCAAACCCATAACGGCCAATGATATAATGCCAATAGCAATGGGAGTAACCATGGCTCTCATTAATACAACGACGATGCGGCGAGATAACAGTACTTATATCAGTGAACATGTACACGCAATAATTCCTTTTAATCTCGCCGCGCTGATAATGCAAAATAATACCGAGAGTTCCGCCATTTTTAAATGTCTAGTGCGGTCTAGTGTTTCGCACTTTACGATCCTTTACGCTCTGTTGCACCGAGGCTACGGTCATCTCGCGACGAGATCAAACAGTTAAAAGCTACTTGACCACAGCTGGTCAAGTGGTTTGCATGTCATCGCGTTGCAGATGTGGTATAACTGAACTGATATTATTTTTGGACATACAAATTCTGAAAAATAATAATTTCCTTCCAAATTAAAAGTATCGGCACGCAGTTCATGTGTATAATTTAAGTAAATTTATTTAAAATATATATAATAATAAACAATAATATATAATATTATAGATGCATTGTTATTCTGTTTTTATAAATTTTAGGATGTTCTTATATCAGCTATATGTTCGCAATTGTCTCGTTTTTATAAATTTTTCAATTTGATTATATTTTTTATATAAATATAATTATAATAAAAATATATAAGATTATATGTGTCGATATTTATTTGCGGTACAAAAATTAAAAAATTAAAATTTTAGAAACAAAAATATTCCGTGCCGTTGCAGATGAATAATGGAATTACATAAAGCGAGCTATAATTCTTCATAAAAATTCCTGCAAATTTCAGCCTAAAGCTAGTATTAAAATAAAAAAAGAAGTATTAATAACAGATAAGAAAAAAATGTAAAGATTATAAATAATCTTCAAATAATATCATATATAAGTATAGTATAACTATATATATATACATGTGATATCTATATAGTCTTGAATTCGATAACATGGTCTTTTTATCAACAATCTTACAGTCCAACCGACTCTCAATTTATTATCAAATTTTTTATCAATGTATCGCAACGAGATTCGAATATATATAATATATATATATATATATCTCAAACAAATATTATATATATAAGCTTTTATTAAAATAATTAGAGCATGTCGCGATCTCAACACGCGCAATCATCCGACAACCTAGCTCATTGCGATGTCGTGGATAAAAAGATCATAAAAAAATAAACACGGATTTTCACGTTGCTCAATTCGCGGATTCGCGCAATTTTTTTTTCTTCCACAAATGAGAGCGCGATAAATCGTCATTCACGATATAAAAGAAATATATCAGAGTTGTCGCGAAACAGTAGTGGAAAAATCATCTCTTTCCACCCAATTTCTTTCGCGAGGTCATAGAGACGAGGGGCCTGACGAAATCGACCTTGCGTCGCGTCACAACGTCCTAGTTATAACAGCTTTTCGCAATACCGCGCGCCAAAGATAAAATAAGAGATCGCGATTCGGTGAACTGCATCGCCGAGCGTCTGCCTTCGAAACGGCGCAAACATGGCTGCGTTCAACAGAAAAAGCAGCTAGCTTTGCAACTGTTGTAAAATTCTTTAATATCATTTGTCTCGCTCTTATTTCCTCACTAGACTTAAATGTATAAATCAATCATATTAAAGAATTTTACAATCTTACAAATTGTAAAGTTAATTACATTTTCTGTTAAACGCAGCCATTAAAATTATGCATCAGTTTATCGCGCAACGCGCGACGCCTATACGACGCTGATTGAAACGTTCCCCATTTTTCATGCCGGGAATGTAAAAAATCTTTATTTCCTTTTCTATTATTTTTTTCTTTTTTCCCTTTTTTCCTAATTATTTCCTTTTCCAAGCAGTTTTATAAAAGACGTATATTACGCACGTAAAATAAAATCTCATTCAAATTTTCCGCTTTTTTAACTCCTTATGTATCATGCGCTCCTAATACACGAACGTATGTACCCAGTTCTTGAAATTCGTATTCGTAACTCATTTCAGTTTGATATGCTTTCCCTGTGAAAGGCGGGAACTTTGAATCGAAATAATCTTCTTCTAACCTCTTGGTGAATCCTGTTCCTTTGATAACTTTGACGATTTTTCGAAGGTATCAAGAGCACTCTTGTTTCAATTTCAAGTCTCTCGCCTAACCTCTTGCGATTGTCTTGGAATGAGAGACGAATTTACGTCAATATACAGAGATGATTCTGCGTATTATATGGAAAATAAAATAATTATATAGTGTTTATATAATATATTATATATGCGTATAGTATATTAGACGAATATAATGTATATCTATATTTATATATTATTCGCTAGACGACACAATTAAAGTTCAAAATTGAGACATATATAAGACGTCTTTTAGACATGTTTAAAACATGTTTTTTTTTTGCAAAAATATCTTTAAAATAATTAATATGCCTTATATTGTCCTATTTTTGATTATTTATTACTCTATATTTTAAGCTTATGTTTTTACAATGTCAATTATTTTTATATTTTCTTTATTTTTCATGCATACAAGTATTCTAAACCTAATAATTTATCCATTTTTAACATTTTGTAGGTTCACATAATTTAATTATGTCTCAATGAACTTCTGTCGCAATTTTGGTAAAGGATTAGAATGAAAGAATTATTATCTAAAATCAAATATCGCAAGGGGAAGATTGCGTTGAATTAAACGTGTTCCGCACAAATCTCTTCACGTGAGTTTTCTAGCTAGACGTACAGAATCAAAAAGGTTGCGTTCCATTAAACGCTCACAACGCTTGTGGAATAGTTTCATCCTTGTTGTTTATCAAATGTCAAACAAAGAAAAACGATGCTCGTGAGCATTGCGAGTGTAAGTGAAATGCAGCCAAAGAAAAACCTCACCATATCTTCAAGTATAAGATATGGAGTTGATATTTATTATAAATATTATTAGTTTAATCGTTCTCTCTTCATATATTCCAGCTTAAAATTTTCTTTTATTTTTAACGATCTTTTTGTTTTCTGGTAAACGTTTATTTTTTTAATATTTTAGCGTTTTTCAAGGATCTCTTGTTGTGTTTATCATCTCTCGAAAAAATAATGAAGTCTCTCGATCTTGAAGATATTTGTTCGCGCGCTTGGTGAAGTTTGGAAAAAATCGCATTCATCCACTAATTTGGTGTGCAATTACGAAGTTTACTTTCCATTCTTGAGTGAGGGCCGCGAGTTCCCCGAGGGTCGCGAGGATGGGAGCGAGCGAGCGGGCAGACGTCGCAGCGTTATCGCGCGGCGTGGATCTCCTACACGTTCCACCGTGATATACGTATAAAATGTCGACGTGAGCTAGATTTTTGGATCTTTATTAGATGTACACCGTCGCGATACCATTGATGATGGATCGACGATGCCGCTTCATCACGACGATCGCTCTGTGCTGTTGCATTTCGTTGGCGAACCCAACGTTCGTCAAACCCGATGACAATCCTGACATCGAGCTCACGACGGTGAGTGTTTTCCTCATCATGACTCTCTTTATAATATGATTGTGACATTACGAGCCTCGCTGAACAACGAATTATTGTATCTTGAATGTCATGTTAAATTGGCTTGCGTAATTACCTACTCTTTCTATTGCAGTGTTTATCTTGGCATTTAGATGCATTCTTAGAGAAAAGAAAGTAAGGTATAAAGGATAAATGAAATGTTTGAGGAGAGCACACAATTAAAGGAGAATAGGGAATAGAGATTAAAGCAATAAAGGTGGGACCGAGCCTTATTTTTTAATTTTATCGATAAACTAGTGCATTATTGCTATAATTTTTGTAATTTTTATTATGTTTAAGGATTTTTTATACATAATCGATCGACAGTATTCTCTATTTCTTTAATTGTGCAGTACTCCTAAAATCTGATCTATACAATACTCTTTGCTTTCTATCTTTTGCTTTTTCCTTCTTGTTTTTTCGCCTCTTATCTTGTTTCTTCGTTTTCTAGCCCCTGATAAAAATTGACGAACTTCAGAAGAGACAAGAAATACGTGACAAGTTTGTTTATCGATAAAACGGTTACAAAGGAAGAAAAAAGCGACAAAAGTAAAGAGCAAGAAACAAAAAGCAAAAATAACATTGTAACTCAGACTTAAGAAATTAATACATCACACATCTTAAGATGTCTCTTTAAAATCTTATCTTCTAAAATTCTACTCTTAAAACTAAATACCGATGAGAATAAGTCATTTATGGTCAAGCTGGATCTTGGATACTAATATAATTACGTGTGAATTTATATTAGAAGCATTCAAGATCCAGCTTGACCGTAAATGGTTTATTCTCATCGGTATTTAATTTAAAAACTCACGGTCCAAATTTGATATTGTCTACTCTTAAATTCATCTTGTCGACATCTGATGATTGACACGTACCTAATTGATGTATGAAATAAAAATGGATGAGCTCTTTCCTTCTTAGCAAATAAATATGTATTATTTTATTCGCAGCCAGAACTGGTGATGAAATACGGATATCCCTTGGAGATTCACAGTATCGTTACGAACGATGGCTATGCTCTTCAACTGCATCGAATACCGTGCGGCCGGGATGAGGAGGAAACAAAATCTAAGACAAAAACGCCGATACTCTTGGTGCACGGTCTGGGAGGTAGCTCTGCTGATTGGGTCCTTATGGGTCCTGGAAAGTCGTTAGGTGGATCCTTATTCATATTTATAGAGCTATAAAACTGTTAACAATATCAGTACAAAAAGATAATCTTGACATTCGTTTGGATAAAGTAATATAATAGAGGACTTCTTCTAGCGTATATATTAGCCGATGAAGGTTACGACGTGTGGCTTGGAAACAACAGAGGCAACCTTTATTCGAGGAATCATACCTGGTTGTCGCCGACCGACCGAGATTTCTGGGATTTCAGGTAACTGAAACGTTACGGAGGATTAGTGGCAATTTTATTACGAATAAGAAAAATATATTAATTACATAAATTACATTTAAGAATGAGAGAAGAATATTAACAGTAAATCTGCCATGACTGGTTAACTGCCGCCCAAGTAACACTGTGGTGCTTTATTAACGTTTTTTAGACGCTATATGCTATTTGAAATTTTTAAACTTATCGTTTTTTACTTAATTGTATAACTATTGTTTATTTTTTGTTTCCTATTTATAATTAAAATGAAAAAAATGTTTTTATTATTTAAAAGTCATTATATATTTTCTTTATTATTGTATACTAAATTGACTATTATCTATATATAATTGTCTATATATAATTGTCTATATATAATTATCTATATATAATTGAAAAGTATAATTTTTATTTAAAGACCACCTATTCGGTAGAAATAGCTGATATGTATAAATTGTCGATTATACATTTAGTGTTAATCATATAAAATTATCGCTCTGTACTAGCCATGTTTATGACATTTAGCTTTGCCTTTCAGATCAAATTTACATATAAAATTTAAGTCTCTAATTAATCTAAAAAAAAAACATTAAATAATAATATACAAAAATCATAATTTAATTTAATTTTAAATATGTATTTTTTAAAGAAATATTAATTTATAGGTATCAATTTTCGTATTTTAGAATATATGAGAAAGATTATCGCAAAGAAACTTGTATTCTATATTTCTTTCAGTTATCATGAACTTGGTATCTACGATCTTCCCGCAATGATCGATTATGTTTTGGACACGACGGGATACGAGAGGATCTATTATGTTGGACATTCGGAAGGTACCACGCAGTTTTGGGTAATGGCATCGGAAAAACCTGAATACAATTCGAAGATTACTCTAATGATCGGTCTAGCACCAGCAGCTTTCAGCGGCAATATTCGCGGTCCGATCCAAAAACTCGCCAAGTTGACGTACTTCGGCGTGGTGAGAATCATCATCGAAGCATTCAATGAATGTTATTATTGTTTTACCTCGACTTCGAGGTCGACTTCATTTCTCCTTTCATTTCTCTTACAGTGGGTCGGCGAAACTTTCGGCTATCCAGAATTCCGTTCCCGATCCGATTGGGGAAAATTCGTGTCGAACCTATTTTGCCAGAGAGCAGCATCCACGCAATTCATTTGCAGCAATATCCTGTTTCTAGTCGCAGGATTTAGTCGTGCGGAATTAAATACAGTAAGAATAAACGACACGCATTCGTCGATTTCGATTCCCTATATCGCTTCTTTTATTCGTATTATTGATCGAGCTTTCATTCATTGCGATCAGGAGTACCTGACGGTCATCATAGGCCACGTACCTGCAGGAGCTTCCTGGAAACAACTCGTGCATTACGGTCAAGGATACATTAATACGGGTAACATCGTGATAATTATACAAAAAGAAAGAAAAGATAAATAATACATCGAGTGCTGTATTGTGTATTATAATATCGACGAATCTGAGGAAACTTTTCAAAATGCTTCAGGTCACTTTAGACAATACGACTATGGTAACGTCGACAAAAATCTTCAGATGTACAATTCAACGACGCCACCGGATTACCAATTAGAAAAAATTACTGCGCCGATTGCTTTTTTCAGTAGCGACGACGACTGGCTAGCAACTACAAAGGTACACTACATGCAACTAAAAATGTTCTTTTTATAAAAGATGAATTTACTTTAATCAAATTTTATAGAAACTTACCTTAAATGTATTAATTTCTCTCGTTTTTTACAATTTATATAATCAAAATTCGTTATAACATCTATCATCATTTGTTAATGTGATATAAATTTCATTCAAGGACGTGGACCTCTTGGCTGCGAAGCTCAACAGCCTCATATTTCATTATAAAACTCCTTTTAATACCACCTGTAATCATTATGACTTCATATGGGGGAAGTCCTCTGTGCAAATGGTTTCACAGCCTATTCTACAATTATTGGCTCAATATCAATAGCGATATTTTTTCTGGGTTAAAAAAAGATATCCTTTTCCGACAGAAAGTTACAAGTGCGTATAATGAATCGATCTAATTTATTGTTGTTATAATATTAGTATTATCATCATATAATACGTTGCGTTTACATATATAGTTCGTACTTATTTAATTTCACTTCCGCCACTTCAGATTGCATAGCGCTGCATCAATTTCACTGTGTCACTAACGTAAAACGTAACTTCGCTTATATTTTCTCTCGATTATAATGTCGCTCTATGTACATTTATACAAACTCCATCGTAATCAATCTGCGATCACTGCATAAGAAACTACATTTGCGATTACAATTCGTCGCGATCGCATCCGGCCGCCGCCGGTATAATTACAAACTTATACTCCTTTAATCGCACTTGAGCATCGCCCGGAGAAAATACTTTCTCCACTTTGAAAATCCTTCTAAAGCGCAGCGTGTTCTGGAATAGACATTGAGAAAAATTTCATTTCTTGCGGCAGATGCTTTAAGCGATCAATCCTGATTTATCCCAATGTACATCGTAATTAAGAGTTATATGTAACCTATGCTAACTTACACTTTAATCATTTAGCATAACTTTTTAATGTTACCCATGCGGGAATGAATGAGCCAGTTCGCGAGTGTCAGGGTCAAATATGAGATGATAACTCTGGATGACTAAGAATTACTTTGATACGTTATGCGCAGCAATTTAAATTAAACTGAAAATTCAATTTAATTGGAATCAATTCAATCTGTCTCTTACTTTTTAATTTCATGACATAATTAGAATGAAAAATGAATCAGTCACATTTGAAAATTGCTCGCAGAACTGGCCTTATAACGTAGGTATAATAATGTACATAGTTGTATGTCGCATGATATGTATTAGTTTATGTTAGAATAGGTCGGATGGATAGATCGGGAAGCTTCCCGCGTGATTCTTATGAAAATTTATGAATCGCTTTCGATCGCAGCGAAGACCTCATTATCACGGTTACGAATAAACAGGACTTCATCGCATCGCACATCGTTACGTCTGCATGATTGTATGCCGATGAAAAATTGCGCATAAATCATAATCGATACTTCAGCTTATGTGTTGGCCACTTCGAGATTTACCTAAAACGATATCTATCTTTCGCAATAAAATCACATCTGATTACAATTTAGTTGCTATAAAATTTGATAACACATAAATCTCCAATATCGTTACCATAATTACCACAATATCGATTTGACGATACAATTCCTCTGAGGCGGATCGCCCCAAGCGTTACAACAATTATAATTTGACATTTTTATTTTAACGAGATAATTTGACGATATAGAAGAGTTTGCAAACGTCAAGGATACATATCAATATAGATATAATATAATTTAACTAATATGCACCTCTTTCACCACCACGCGAAACTAATTCATCTTTAATTAAAAAGAAAGATTTAGACTATATTCGTACGAAGTAAAAAGAAAAAAACTTGAAATCTTTTTATTGGATTTATACTGCTTTTATCTTAATAGTAAATTCTTTTATCAGAAATCTTTTTCAGAGTGAAATAAAAATATATATTAAATATTTCATCATTGATATATAATAGATAAAAGTCAAAAGATGATATTTAAAAAAAATAGAATAGGATTAAGTATTTTTCATAAAAAAATATATTTCTTTGCGCATAAGAGAAGTAAATGAAGCAAAACCGCGTTTGTGGTGGAGCGAGAGGTAACTGATTAATTCCTTTGCACGTAAGGATTGTTTTATTTATTATACCATACTTTAAAGGAACAGAATCACACATCTTCGTCAGTTCATGAAGATATTAGTCGCGGCTGCAGGGATGGTAGCCTGTCATGTGTTCGCATTATGCACACAGGATGCATTTGAGAGAAACAATTTAATTCCCGTTCCGAAAAACGCAAGTCAAGCTTTATAAAAATACTATCAACAGTAATATATATGTATAATAACGTATACAATTTTTAAATATACTCGACAATAATTATATATTCAGTAATAATTATGAGGCCATTGTTAATACGTCGATAACATACGCGCCGCACTTTGTCGTCGTAGACAAGGGAAGGCACGCGTATAATCGATTCTCGTTAATTCTGTGAAACGAGACATACTTAATTAATATTCACTCTCCAAGATCCTTCTTCTGACCTGCTTGCGAGGGCAGATGTGCCTCGTTAATTTATATTCTCATTTAGATTATGTAACAAATCCTAAAGATATAAGCGTCCCTTCTGCTTTTTGATATCTTGTACTCTATAACAATTAAATGCAGCCATTGTTCAATTTTATCTATAAATATTATATATGTATATATAATTTTATAATTACATAATTATCATATAATAATCATCTTACTGTATCGTTCTTTTCAACACTGAAATAAGGACAGTCTCAACATCGCCGAGTTACAAGTAGAAATAATACAATAGAATTATGTTAAAATTTTAATATTTCTCTCAGTAAAGGTATATTTTATACAGATATATATATAAATATACATTTACATATATACGATAAAATATTATTTAAATAGAGTTACGTCTGTAAGATACAATTAAGCAATTGTACCTGCGATATAAACATAGAACACGTATATTGCGATCAAATGAATTCGGAGCAAAGTATGTAGAGCAAAGTAAGAAAAAAGAATATGGAAAATTGTTCACTTTAGGGGACCCAGCTCCGATGACCTTGACCTTCACATATGTTGTCAAGGTCATGATTCTGAGCAACTTTGCCTTAACAACTAGGTGGCGGGACTCATAATTTTTGAGATATTTAGACTCAATAGTCTGGACTATTGTATACTATCAACAGTTAATACTATGCGTATTCAATAGTCCAGACTATTCTTTTTAAGTAGTGGAACCCCCCCCCCCCCCCCCCCCCGCAGAGAGGGTACAACATATGTCAAGGTCAAGGTCATCGGAGCTGGGTCCCCTAAAGTGAACAATTACTAGAAGATTTATTAGAAAAAAGGAGGATATAGATTATGCTCATGTAATTTCACATAATCATACGATAAACTAACTGAGCATTAGGAGTGATGCGTATTCGAAATTATTGTACTATAATGTCACTATCAGTTTTCAGAGTTAATATATTACAAATACCTACAGCTCCGATATATATAATTCCTCGTAAACTTTTCTGTGTTAAATTATTTTTCAGTACGCGTACTTGTATCTTTTGACACTATGTACATACATAAATATAATTATATATACACGTTGAGTACACATAGTGGAAAAAGAAAACAATCTTAATGTCGTAACGTGTTCTTACATGATAATGTTGTACATAAAAAATAATCAAGAGAAAAAAAATTAGATGTTTTACGTTATACTGCACAATGAAAAATTACAAAACTGAATCAGAAATATTATAAAAATAGGATAAGAATCTGAAAATCATGCTATGTAGTATTAAAAAAAAAAGATTATATTCGCGGTCATTGTCTTTGAATTTGTCAAATCTAACGTTTAAACCGATAAACGTTGAAAAAGAATAAAATAAAAAGCAAAAGTCTCAATTCCTGGAAATGTTTGTAAAAATTATTTGAAATATGTATTATCCAATAAATGTCAATAAGCAGTAATAAATTCTTAGTCGTAAAACATTTGCCTAACTTTTTCTTTTCTTTCTCTTTTCATGCGCGTGCATGATATAATAAGATAATAATCGCATATAACAAGAAGTACGAAAATGATTGACTCTTACATTACTCCCCTAAGTTTATATTTTATACTATATTTGCTCGCATGAATCTAATTTCTTCCCGTACTTTCGGAACGTATTTGAGATATCCGAGGCTCGGATGCGCAGAAAGTCTGCATAATTTCTCTCTCGATGACATATTGGATCCAATTAAATTAAGTAGCTCTAACTTAAATATATATTATAATACGTGTATATATTTTTTCATATAGAATACGTATCTCTCTGTTCATTTAAGTATCCGAGATCCTCGGATATCTGAGTATAAATATATAATATTTCGTAAATTTCTACAACAAAAGCGTACAAATACATGGAAATTTTATAATTAATGATGATAAAGTTTAAAAAAAAAAACAATACGTCTTAATGTTCTTTTCTACAATTCGCTCTGTATGGTCCTTTAAAAGGAATATAAAATACGATACAAAGTATGGAATATATTCCATGCGATTCTGCATTACTGTGCCGCGTATTAAACTCGTAAACAAAACTGGGTACGACGTGCAATCAATTGATCATAAGTGATATAACTCTACCTGTTTTTTTTTATATCCTCCAATAATATCGATTGTTACGTGAAATACCGTGCTCCGTTCGTGGAAAGACAACATTCGCGCCAGAAGATATACAGATTTTAACAAATATTTAAGCGTCTCTTAAATAATTAACTGCAGCATATGGTGCCGAAAATCAACAGTATGTGAATATATTTATACATTATTACCGTTATCATATACTGTAATATACTGTTCGATATCATCAGCGTTAAGGATCTCTTTATTTAGAATACCTTTATAGTTATCTCTCTCTCTTGCATTCGTCAGACTCGTCCCTATAAAAAATAGCGGATCGTCGTTTATATAAAATAATAGCAGCCTTTGCAACAATTAAGTTTACAGCAGATAACACGTATTCAATTCATTCGCTATGTTACAATAGGAATTTATATATGAAGTCTCTATGCTTACCACACGTTCTTACGGAAAAAAGATAACGAACACAAGGATAAGATAGTGCGGCTCGTCGCTGAAAAAAAAGGAAAATCACTTAAGTTCTGCAACGCGTAATACTCATCGTTCGATACTGTTAAGATGTTGAGTGTTGGCACCATATTCTCTCTAACGCAAATTACACGATACTTACTTTCTTCTTTATGTAAATGCGTCGTCGCATAGATAGAGTACGCCGGATAGAGTATCGTGTAACATCGATTGTGTTTTAAGATAACTCTAATGTCGGAACTAATTTATCTGCTTTTATCATACTAGCATACGCTCGAGAGAATCCGGAGAGAACTACGAGATTTAGTTAAATCCTTCTTTTTTATGTGATGTAAATTTGGTATATATGTATGTAACTTTTCGTTTCGTTAACATCTTTTCACGTGACATCCCTATGTTAAATACTTTTCACATTTACATATCCATAAGATGTGGATAATTCCATATCCTCACAGCTATCTTAATCTTCCCTCTTTTTTTCTTAACAGCAATCCTTATAATCGTCGGAACAAAAATCATGCGCAGTAACTTTAATATATACGATATACTCTCGTCTACGTATAATTTAATTCCGCGAACGTCCGCGTTTCGAAGTAAAACATTTTATCACCCAATCCTCTTAAACTTTATGAGCCGTATATTAATCTAGCAAAATGTCCCACGCGGCTCTCAGCAATACTTCTACGGTTAATACTTGTGACGTAATACGCTTCAAAATTTGTTTGCGATTAGTTTAGAATAAAGTTAGAGCGGACATTGCACGTCTTAATCATTAGAATTTATAAATATCCAGGGAATACTGTGCATGATGATCTCTACGTAGCTTCAACAATAAGAAGATAAACTAGTCGTTAGTATTCCAACTGCCTGGTTGTACGTTTGCTCAATGTTACTTTGAAAAACTATAAAAATTGTCCTAATAACACTATAGGAATCTGTATACTCTCTCACACTTGGACGAGGAGTATGCTATCAATGTAGACATGTAAATACAACTAGCTTGTTGCGGAGTAAAAAATATTTTCAGAATATGTTCCTATAAGTAAAAAACCACGTTTTTCATAGAAAATTATTGTTACTGCATATTATCTTTCTATTCTAACAGCGAGTACAATTTCTCGATAAGAAAAGAAATGATTGGAATGTTGCTACAAAAAACACACGATGGCCCTTTATAAAGTGACCAATGTATCGATTTAATCGAGTTCATAGGAATGTCCGTATAAAAGCAATATCGATATTATTACTACCACGTTATCTTTTATCCGCGAGTTTAAAATGTACATGTAAGAGCTATTCAACAAAAAAGAAAGAAGGCTATTACTATGTTTGGTATGACTCTTCCACAACGTAATTAATCTATAATTCAGATTATTCGCATTTCATACATATTAAAATATGTTAAAGTTGCCGTAAAAATGTAATGTATAGAAAAAGGAATGGTTAGTCGCTAATACTTTGGGAATATCAATCCGCTGCGCAAAATAAATGGTACTGTAAAAATACCTATAAAGATCGATCAAAGCAGTCAGGTACGTTTTCACCTTTAGCTTTCGAACTAAAGGTTGCGGAAAGTAACGTTACCCATCGACATGTCTATTCGCAGCACCATGTGTGAAAGAGAACAAGTTAACTTAACGATAGACATATGTAAATATATATATTTAGTTAAATTTTAAATATTTCCGTATTTCTTAACACTATGTGTTAACTACTACACGGGACGTTTACGTCCGACGAATAATGTAAGTCTCGAGCTGTTTCTACAAAAATGCGTATCGAGTAATCAAATCGGAGGCAATCTTATCCCTTTAAAGCCTTATGTTCTCGATGGTGGAAATTGTTCCAAGATCTCGGAAAAAGAGTTGCCCAAATCGCATTAGTCAATTGATTAAATTACTCAAATGTGATCTGTCAATTCGTTCTCCATTTGAAGTTTCGAAGCGATTTCTAGCATATCATAAACACAAGACTTCAATAAAGAAGCTCGGATCGAGCTTTAATTTAATGGAAGGCAAAATATCTGTTTCAGGAGACCTTTTCGCGGATTCTCATCCTCCATATCGTCATAGTCGTTCTCGTCATAATTGCTAACAATCGCATTATTATTGCCTGGGTTGTAAGTTACGTCTGTGATACTTAGAGAACGAGAGTACGCCGGACTTTCGTATCGGAAGGGGAAGGGTGGCGGTAGCCGATGATGCTCATTGTAATTATTGTCGTTCTCATTCTCCTCCGAGTACGTCATTAGAAATACGTTATTGTGATAACCTTGATTACTTGAGCCGACAACGGGAAGTAGGGGATCGATACGAAGTTTTGCGAGTCTGTCTTGCAACTCGTACATGTAACACTGCTGCAGTTGATACTGCTGTTGCTGGTCTTGATTGTGACGCTGCACAATGAAAAGTGGCTCTTGTCACACGCAGTCTTCCAGTGACATTAATAGAGGATTCACATACTCAAAACCATCGAATTCACTCTGATCGATCTTCTCAATTTGTTTCCTGAAAATTTTCTTGTAATAATATTGCATCGAATTTATTGATATAATAAAAACTAATTTATTTGTTTGATATGATAAGAACTTTGTATACATTTTTATCAAAAAAATATTTTTGTTTAACTTTTAAATTACGTAAATTTTTAGAAAACTCTTTAATGACTTACGGATCATCCGGAGTCAAACGGACTTCCTCATCCGTAAATTCAGGTGGGAAGTTTGCGAGATCGCGATCGGAGTCCAAACGTGGCTTGTAAGGTGGTGTAACTTGTTTTTGCTCCAACTGCAAAATTAAAGGTATTAATAAAAACTTTTTTAAATTTTGATTAAGATTTTATATTTACGATACTTACCATTTCCCAATCAATTGCTTTAAAAAAGGGATGAGCGACAATGTCGAGGAAACCAGAAGGCCTCTTTCCGCAACCCAATCTTTCTGTTGGATCTTTGCTAAGAAATCCTCTAAGAACAGATGCAGCTTTAACGGATAAGGATCGCGGTATACGTATAGTCTTTTCCAGAATGACTTGAAATAGGAAATCCTCGGTATTTTTGTCTGGGTCTTCGGCCGCGCCAGTAAGATCGAAGGGACTACGGCCTGCTAACATCTCATACAATAGGACTCCCAGAGCCCACCAATCTACTGAAAAGCTGTATTCCTCGCCACGTAGAATTTCAGGAGCAATATAATTGGGAGTGCCACAGAAGGTACCGGTGTTGTCGCCTTCCCGAATGCCTTCTTTACACATTCCATAATCCGTAAGCTTAACATGCCCTTCATGATCAAGCAATACATTATCCAGTTTTAAATCCCTATATATAATACCTGAAAGTGAACGATTATCGAATTTAATTGCATATTCAATCTCTTCTATCAATTTTTCAAAAACAAAAAGAGATAACTTTTTACCCTTTTCATGTAGAAAATTTAACGCCAGACTGATCTCAGCTACATAAAATCGCGCGTGATCCTCAGGAAGACGACGTTGTCTTTGCATATGAAACATAAGATCGCCACCACGTACAAATTCGATCACGAAGAATAGACGCGAAGGCGTCTGGAAGCAGGAGTGAAGGCCCACCAAAAACGGATGATTTGAGGCTGTTTCGAATACGTGTTTCTCTGTCTGCACCCAATCGATGTCCTCATCGTCTGTCACCAGGGACTTTTTAATTACCTTCATGGCGTAAATCCTCTTAGTACGTTTCAGCTCCACCATCAAGACCTTTGCATAGGAACCACGACCGATCACCCTAATCAACTCAAAGTCGTTCAACGAATACTGCCGTTGCATGTCGTTTGAAGTATCACCCTCGTTCAATGTATCCAATGGTAGTTCTTCCCCTTCCTCATGTCCAATTCCTACAAAATGGTAAACATGAAAAATGTATTAAATAAATAATATTAAAATGTATTATTGTGTAAAGTAAAAGGACAAATAAGAATCAGATAAATAAAATATTGAGACAAATATATAGTCAGATAAATAAATAAATTATTTATCTGACCCTTATTTGTCCTTTTACTTTACACAATTATATTTTTGAATAAGAGTCCTTTATTTAATTAACGTTTTTAAAATGTATTAATAATATAAAAGAGATGCAAATATAAAAAGACATTTAAAAAGATATCTTCTAATATGAAGTGATCTGAAAATGAAAATCTTCAGATATGAAATAAATACATTTTAGACATCATTGTTAAAAGATGTATAAGATGTATTATCCAATACACAAAGTGATATAAATGAATTACATCCTTGCACATATTAATATCCTACTGCAACAATATCTCTGCAGAAAATTATGATTTATTTTTTTGGCTAGGAAATTTCATTCTTTCGCTATGAAAAATGTTGTATAATGCATAACCAATATGTCCAATAAAGTTATCTTACGATCGCGCGAATGCTCCTCAATAATTGGCGATTCTGTGATCTCATCATCGAGATGAGTCGCTGAGCCGCACGGATACGGATCAAGCTGTTGGTCGCCATTTCTGTCGATCGTCTGCGACTCTGCGCTCTGCTGCTGTTGCTGCTGGCTCAGGCAAGGCTTGCGTACCACTTTGTGGCATTTTTTGTGCACGAGCAGTTTGCATTGGATGCACTTGAATCCCTGCCGCCCGAGGCCCCAGATTCGGTCTTGGCAGAACGCGCAGAAGGCCCTCTACAAATAAAATCACCGAAAGATATTATATTGTATTACTTTTCAAATTATCTATTAGGTATATCGCGGCATTCCGCGAGGTAGAAGTCGAGCGTTTAAGCTTCACGCAGCGATAAACGCACGCGTCGCTTCGACTTTAAAACATCCTAGAACCGAAGTCTAAAATAAATGATAATTAAGTTTAAGTATCCGATCTTAAACGCAGTAAATGCTCTTCTTCCAAGAGCTGAGGTAAAGTAAAGTAGACTGGAGGAAGGAAGAGGATGAATAAAACGAGAGGATTACGCACGAGGCAAGATCGAGAGTTTGCACGTAAATCTAGTTTTGTATGGACGGCAACTTTGCATTTCTAGCAACACAGTCGGAAATAGGGACGGGGGAGGGGAGGGAGGGAGG